CACTGCAACCTCTGCTTCCTGGGTTCAAGCAATTCTCCTTCCTCAGCCTCCTGAGTAGCTGAGATTACAGGTTCCTGCCAACATGCCCAGCTTATTTTTGCATTTTTAGTAGAGACGGGGTTTCACCATGTTGGCCAGGCTAGTCTCAAACTCCTGACCTCAGGTGATCCACCTGCCTTGGCCTCCCAAAGTGCTGGGATTACAGGTGTGAGCCACCGCACCCAGCCTGTCTTTCTTTACTACCCTTTTTCCACATTAGTACATCCTGCTATGTTCTAGGCACTCTGCCAAGAACTGGGCATACAGTGTTGAACGAAGGACTTAGGTCCCATAACTCCAGAAGCCTAATAAATTAGAGGAAGAGACAGACATGAAATGAATATGCAATTTTAAGTTGTGGTAAATACTGAAAAGTACAGGGGAGAAAAGCAAAAGCTGAAATTAATTTGAGTGTCAGGGAGGGCTTCCTGGAGGAAGTAAAATTTAAGCTAAGTTCCAAAGCATGAGTAAGAGCCAGCCAGTGAAAGAAAGAGCACCTAGAGGCCTGGCGCCATGGCTCATGCCTATAATCCCAGCACTTTGGGGGGCCGAGGCAGGGGGATTGCCTGATGTCACAAGTTCGAGACTCAGCCTGGGCAACATGATGGTGAAACTCTGTCTCTTCAAAAAAAAAAAGAAAAAAGCACTCTGGACAGAGAGACTAGCTGGAGAGCATGGTTCTTGCTAAAACATCTTCCCTTTACAGAATAAAACACATTTCTCTCAAAAGTAGTCTCATTAATGTTATCTACATTTAAGGAAAAAGAAAAAAAGTGGTCTCGTAATACAGTCTAAAGCATGCTGTTTGTGTCATCTGCTTCCTTTGAGTCTAATATTCCAGAGATAGAATTATTAAAAAAAAAAAAAAAAAATGACCGAGCTTAGTGGCTCATGCCTGCAACCTCAATGCTTTCAGAAGCCAAGGTGGGAGGATAGATTGAAGCCAAGAATTTGACACCAGCCTGGGCAACATAGCAAGATCTCATCTTTACCAAAAAAAAAAAAAAAAAAAAAATTATCCAGTTGTGGTGGTACACACCTGTAGTCCCAGCTACCCAGGAGGCGGAGGTAAGGATCACTTGGGCCCAGGAGTTTAAGGTTACAGTGAGCTACTACTGCACCACTGCAGTTCAACCTGGGTGATAGAGAAAGACCCTGTCTCCAATTTTTAAAAAATGGCAGAATATAACAATATAATTACTGCTTGACAAAAAGGAGCTATTGGCTCTTAAGGCTGCATATAAGAAAAGTCAAAATCCCTTGATGTTTTTTACATACATTTGATCATTCTTGAACAGCTCAGAAAGAAAAGATTGCTTATCTTGTGGTTTGATCTCTGAGTTACCTAATTATTTTTGGAAGTCAGAAGAATCATTTATCCAGGAAATCTCCAACTGCCAGGAAACCTCTTATGTGAGGTAGGTCAGATAATGTCACTGATCTTATCTGCTTGCAAAACCTGTAATCCAGTCCTTTAAAGCAATAATTCCTGGTTAACTTCCACACCCATCCAGAATCAGCATGGGACCCAGCTCTCCTTGCCCAGGACTTCCCTCAGGGTGTTTTCACCCACATGTCCCCATCAGGGATTCCTAAGCATGTGAACCCCAGCTATACCACATATCTGTCCCCTGCCTTTTCCTAACCATGGGGTAAATCATGACTTCTAGCGGCTCTAGATCCTTCAGAGTGACATGCTCTTGAGCTTCTGCTCAAGAGTGAAACACTAACACAGGACACCTGAAGGTCTTGTGTTCCAATTACCACCTCTAGACAGCCCTAGGGTATTACAGAACCTCGGATTTCCGAACAGTCTGCTCCTGCTTCAATGCCATGACAGCATCCTGGTCTTTGTGGTGAGATTTTACCACTTCACTTCCCCATCCTCCTCCTCCCCGCCACCCCCCAACTCACACCATCACCCCATGTGGGTTCTCTAACTGTGAGAGGACATCACTTCCTCTAAGAAATCTTCTCTAGGCCCAATTTTATAGAATTGAAAAGCATAGTGAACCTCCACTATCACCACCACCCTCTTCTATTAATGGAGTGATCGCCAGGTGACAGTGCTTACTTTATTATATGCCTGATTGATGTACTACCTGTGAAAAAGGTATGAATGTCATCACCATCCGCATTTTACAAATGATGAAACAGTGCAGAGAGAATGTAATAGACTTCCTGTGATTAGAACCAAGCCTATCCCCTTTAAAGCCTAGGATTTAACTACAAAATCCCATAGGCAATCTGATCCCACCATTCCTAGTTTGTTTCCCTGCTTAGGTCAGCTGTCTTCAATGACCCTGAAGACCTGTAAAATCACAGAGGACCTAGTTTCATGGGCCACCTTCAATTTGGGCCAAACTGAGCAGCACATGGACTGGATTTCTGCTGGAGCAGGGACACAGTACCACAGAACTGACCAATCTGTGGCCAATCTGTGGCCTGCCCCAGATTGCTGCTTAGATGCAGCCTAGGACTGCAGTCCAGAGGGCCTGGCATTCTTCCAGCCAAAGCAGCACCCTGGGTACTAATAGTCAGGGTTCAACCTTCTTCATAGAGTTGCTAGGAGACAAGAAAGTACTTAGAACTCAGTAAACTCCGTGATAGTAGTCACTATCATTCCATCCTTATGCTTTTTTCTAACTTCCTCTAGCTCCCCAGGGACCTATTGTGAAACAACTCCCTAGCCCAGTTCCTCCTACAGAGCAACTTGAGCAGGAAAAGCCCATGACCATCTCCTCTGCTCCCTCCACATCTAACAAGCTCCTACTTAGCCATTCCAATTGTCAACTCCCTAGGCCATTAAGATCAGTAACAAATATCTCTGCATGCTTTTCTCTTGAACTTGCTATAGACCACAGGGGTTTCCCACGCAGCCCTGGAGCTAGATTACTGTATTCAAATTCTGTCTTTGTTACTTACCAGCTGTGTGACCTTGTATGATTGACTTAACCTCTCTGAGCCTCAGTTTATCATTTTTAAAATGGGGATAATCATCAAGCCTATCTCACAGGATTGCTGTGAGGATTTTCTCTGTCTCCATCTATTTTTCTTTTGAGACAGGGTTTTTTTTTTCTTTTTGAGACAGAGTTTCACTTTTGTTGCCCAGGTTGGAGTGCAATGGCGTGATCTCAGCTCACTGCAGCCTCTGCCTCCCAGGTTCAAGTGATTCTCCTCAGCCTCCCAAGAAGCTGGGATTGTAAGTGCCCCCCACCACACCCAGCTAATTTTTTAAAACATATTTTTAATAGAGACGGGGTTTCACCATGTTGGTCAGGCTGGTGTCAGACTCCTGACCTCAGGTGATTCACCCGCCTCGGCCTCTCAAAGTGCTGGGATTACAGGCGTGAGCCACTGCGCCTGGCCTCAGACAGGTTCTTGTTTTGTCACCCAGGCTGGAGTGCAGTGGCACGATTTCAGTTCACTGCAACCTCCGTCCCCCTGGGCTCAAGCAATCCTCCCACCTCAGCCTCCCGAGTCGCTGGGACTGAAGGTGCACGCCACCACGCCTTGCTAATTTTTGTATTTTTAGTAGTAGAGATGGGGTTTCACCAAGTTACTCAGGTTGGTCTTGAACTCCTGGTCTCAAGTAATCTGCCCACATTGGCCTCCCAAAGTGCTGGATTACAGGTGTGAGCCACTGTGCCCGGCTGTATGTATCTTTCTCTTTATTCTCTATTGTCTTCCTATCTATTATCTATCTACCTACCTAATATACTTATGTTTCAATCTCATCCACTTTCTGAAAGGATTTTATGGAAAAAACCCTAAAACTGAAAAACCTCTAAAAACTTATATAAGAAAACAACACACACCCATTTGTGTATATATTACATAAAAATACACACTACATAAAATAATCTTCAAAGTATCATTTTATATTTGTTGAGCCAGGGTAAATTAAAAATAAATGTTCCTAATTATAGCCCACTAAGGTCAAAGTGGTTTACTCATAGATTGCTGACACAAATATAAATTGACTCAGACTTTTTGGAAAGCACTTTAAAAGTACATTTCAAGAGCTTTTAAAAAGTCTGCATTATTAATTGCAGAAACAATAATGTAAAGAATTTCCTCTTAGAAAAATTCCAATATAAGGAAAAGTTTAAATGTACAAGAATAGGAACTCAAATTCTAAAAATTGGTAACAATCCAGGCCAGGAGTGGTGGCTCATGCCTGTAATCCCAGCACTTTCGGAGGCCAAGGTGGGTGGATCACGAGGTTAGAAGATTGAGACCTCAGCCTCTCTAGTAGCTGGGATTACATGTGCCTGCCAATGCACCCAGCTAATTTTTGTATTTTTACTAGAGATGGGGTTTCACCATATTGGCCTAGCTGGTAAACTTAGATCTTTTTTTGTTTGTTTGTTTTTGTTTTTTTTGTTTTGAGACAGAGTCTCGCTCTGTTGCCCAGGCTGGAGTGCAGTGGCCAGATCTCAGCTCACTGCAAGCTCCGCCTCCTGGGTTCACGCCATTCTGCTGCCTCAGCCTCCCGAGTAGCTGGGACTACAGGCGCCCGCCACCTCGCCCGGCTAGTTTTTTGTGTTTTTTAGTGGAGACGGGGTTTCACCATGTTAGCCAGGATGGTCTCGATCTCCTGACCTCGTGATCCGCCCATCTCGGCCTCCCAAAGTGCTGGGATTACAGGCTTGAGCCACCGCGCCCGGCCCGCTAAACTTAGATCTTAATTGTGCATTTTGGATCATTTTAGTTGATTATGCCCATGATTACCTGTTAGAGATAATGTGTAATTTCATAAATGAGTGATCACACATTAGTCATTCTTATCAGTTTCAACGCAACACTTTCACATATCATGAATAGTCACAGAGTTACAATAACCTTAACATAAATCATTATCCTTTATAATATATCTATAAGTAGAAATCTATTAAATGGCTTTCCTAATGTGTCCTGAATTCAGACACTGCTGTAATACGTATAACAAAAATCCTTACCACAGGCCTCCTTTCCGATCTGTGATGAGTAATACAGTGATCCAGCAAGCTGTCTTCATCCAGTTCCCTTTGACAAAAGGGACATACACACCTGGAAATAACACAGAATACAAATATTACTAAAATGGTTGGCAACTAGATAGTAGTCACTTTTTTTTCTTTTTTTTGAGACAAGAGTCTTGCTCTGTGGCCCAGGTTGTAGTGCAGGGGCATGATCTCAGCTCAATGCAACCTCCCCACCTCCAAGGTTCAAGGGGTCCTCCTGCCTCAGCCTCCCAAGTAGCAGGGATTACAGGCCCCCACCACCACACCAAGCTAATCTTTGTATTTTTAGTAGAGATGGGGTTTCACCATGTTGGCCAGGCTGGTCTCAAACTCCTGACTTAAGGTGATTCACCCGCCTCGGCCTCCCAAAGTGCTGGGTGGATTACAGGTGTGAGCCACCACACCTGGCCACATATCTGAATTTGGACTAGCCACATTTCAAGTGCCCAGTGGACACATCTTGGACAGCACAGATAAAGGACAAATATTCCTAAGTGTACATAAGGATTTAACAAGGTAGCTGCAGGTCACTTTTTCTTTCTTTCTTTTTTTTTTTTTTTCTTTTTGAGAGGGAGTCTCACTCCGTCGCCCAGGCTGGAGTGCAGTGGTGCAATCTTGGCTCACTGCAACCTCCACTTCCTGGGCTCAAATGATCCTCCTGTCTCAGCCTCCCAAGTAGCTCAGACCACAGGAACGTGCCACCACGCTAATTTTTTGTATTTTCAATAGAGGTGGGAGTTTCAACATGTTGCCCAAGCTGGTCTCAAACTCCTGAGCTCAAGCAATCCACCCTCCTTGACCTCCCAAAGTGCTGAGATTATAGGTGTGAGCCACCTTGCCCAGACTGCAGGTCATTTTTCATTCTTCACTGGAAACTAACAACATAGGCTTACGCGTGTAGTTATATGCTAGTGAAGGTGGAAAACAAATAACACCCCTAAATGTTATGTGAATTTGGAAAGGGAGGAAGAAAAAGGTAATCCAAGGACAACTGGGTGCTGCAATCCTCAATTTTTCAGTTCATGCATGCTCAGATTGCACTTCTCTCCCAAAGAGAAGTGCAGTGAGCCGGGATCGCACCATTGGACTCCAGCCTGGGCAACAAGCGTGAAAAGTCTATCTCAAAAAAAAAAAAAAAAAAAAAAAATTCAGATTTGCTGGATGTATAAGATACACACTGAATTTTGACGGCTTAATATAAAAAGAAAAAAGAATGTGAAATATCTTGATAATTTTTATACTGATTACATGTTCAAATGATAATATTTTAGCAATATTAGGTTCGATAAAATATATTGAAGGGTAATTTAAACTTTATCTTATTTGTTTAAATGTTGCAACTAGAAAATTTTGAATTACATGTGATTAACGTTATATTTCTAGGCCGGGAGCGGTGGCTCACAGCTGTAATCCCAGCACTTTGGGAGGCCGAGACAGGTGGATCACGAGGTCAGGAGTTCAAGACCAGCCTGGCCAAGACGCTGAAACACCGTCTCTACTAAAAACACAAAAATTAGCCAGGCATGGTGGCACACGCCTGTGATCCCAGCTACTCGGGAGGCTGAGGCAGGAGAATCGCTTGAACTCGGGCGGCAGAGGTTGCAGTGAGCCGAGATCGCGCTTCTGCACTCCAGCCTGGGAAACAGAGCAAGAGTCCATCTCAAAAAAAAAAAAAAAGAGAAGAAAAAGAAAAAAAAAATCATTATATTTCTATTGGACAATACTGCCTTAAGTTCTTAGGGACAATATGGAGTCTGTTACAGACGTAACTTCCTGTCCCCCAAAACTTGTACTCTGGACAAACTCTATGTGTAAGAATTTTTACAATTTGAATTATGTGGTAAATTCTTCTGTAAAGCAAAGATTTTTTATCATAAATCCAAATATTAATTTATCTTGTAAAATAATCAACAACCCTCCCCATTTTCTATTAATTCTTTACTATTTAATTCTAACCAGTAAAATAATTGGGATTCAAATTAGCTTTCATATATTTTTAAATTTTCATAAAAGCCGTCAACCTTGCAATCAAACCCACACTTTCTCAACCTGTTTGTAATGCTTCCTTCCTATTGGTCATTGTGGTCAATCTAACAGGATCCATACTCTGTTTATAGCTAAAATACTCATTTGAAATTTATAATGTCAGGGTATAAAGCTAATCCTATAATAACAGGTGCTTTTGCAAGGCAATCTCTAGTAAAACAAAAGGAATGAAGTGATTGTTTAGACTTTTAATTTTGAAATGTAAGCTCTATTTTGAGTGTATTTTCTAAAAATGAGTAGAACTAACATTTTTCTCTGGGAGAGAGAAACTATACAGAATACCAATATTGGATACATGAATGTGTAGACAGATTAATGTCTGGAAAGCCATCAACCTTTGCTAGAGAGCACAAATCACTTTATTTGGTTAGTAGGAGCAGATTACAAACTTTATAATTACTCTGATGCAGCTAAATTTCCTTTCTCATCGGGACAATAATAACCTAGATGTGTTTCTTTCTTTCTTTTTTTTTTTTTTTTTTTCCTGAGACAGAGTCTTGCTCTGTCACCCAGGCTGGAGTACAGTGGTCAGATCTCAGCTCATTGCAACCTCTGCCTCCCAGGTTCAAGTGATTCTTGTACCTAAGCCTCCAGAATAGCTGGGATTATAGGTGTGCGCCACCATGCCCAGCTAATTTTTGTGTTTTACTAGAGACGGGGTTTTGCCATGTTGCCCAGGCTGGTCTCGAACTCCTGACCTCAAGTGATCTGCCCATCTCACCCTCCCAAAGTGCTGGGATTGCAGGTGTGAGCCACTGCACCCCATGAATGTTTCTTTCTCTCTTTTTTTTTAAAGAATAAAATACTATCAATATCCTCCATTACATCTACCAGCTACCTCCCTCCTTCCCCTACCCCCATACCAGATTACCCATCAAAAAGGCAAAGGATTCAGGATGCCTGCCCAGCCTGTTCTCTTGTATACTGAGATGCTGCTGTCTATATTCTAAAGAGAAACAAGCAAAATGATAAAGAACGAGCTGGTGAAATGAGCAGTGGTGACAGAAGATGGATAATCCCAACCACGATCTACTTCAGGAATCATCTATTGGAAAACAAAGCCTAGCAGAAATGTAACAGTTCTGCATTCTATTTTTGGATCTGTGTTAACACAAACTTGTTTGAGGAAGTTGCCCCAGTCTCTCCAGTCTGTGGCTGGTTGCCCCTGGAAATTTTTAAAGTAGACAGAGCAAAATTCTTCAACAATGATTGCTGTCAACAAATGATTACCAGTACCAGGTATTATGGTTGAGAACGTAAACATAAATATTTTCATAAGAATGTTAAAGTTTCCAGCCCATTAAATTCTTTATAAACATTATCAATTATAGCATTAAACTATATTGTATGGAAACAAACCTTGCTGCTGTCTCCTCAAGTTCTTGTAGTGGTCCATACTTATCTATGTACTTCTGACAAGTCCGAATATGTGCCCTCATTTCACTGAGGCAAACCTACATAAAAACAAATTCAAAATGAACTCACTGTTAAAAAAGGGCTCAATGAAAGCTTATGCGATCCAGCCTTTTAACTTTCAAATAAGGTCATACTGTGGGATCAATTGACTAAATAGATGCATTCATAACACCAGTACCACCAAAAATTAAGGCATTATCAGGAATACTACTATTTTTCAAATTCTCCAACACTTAGAAGACCCAACTATTAAGTTCTTGAATTTGGTTCTTCTAAAAAGCATATACATTTTTTAAAGTAGATAGATGTGTAGCAACTCAAATTTACTTCTTTTGCATGCCATTACATAAACAGGTTTTAGAAAGAAGGAAGGGGGGAAAAGGGTGAAGAAAAAGAGCAAGAGAGAGAGAGAGAAAAGAAGAAACAATCTAAGATAGAAAAAGAGACAGAAAAAAGAAATGGAGAGATAAGAAGAATAAATGGATAAATTTTAGAGGTGCCTATAGTAAGCTAAATGAAACACTGTGCCTTAGGGAAAGATATCAATACCATGGTTTTATAACACCCCCAACAGTATTACATGAATTCACAATACACCGTATACTTAATGGTCCCATTAAGAGCAAACATAAAAGACAGCTCTTGCAGTCCATTTTTATCAATGCAGAATAAAGAGCCCTTGTTCTTTCACATATACATTCAGAGATCCTAACCATGAGGGATCTGTTGCTAACATAACACACCCTATTAAATGTTTCATTAGAAACTCTGATAAGATCTTGTGCTAAAGGAAGCTCTGTACAGCTGTGGTAAGGTGGCCGACCCACTCTGCTTCATTTTGCCCAAGCTACGGAAGTTAAACCTCAAACATGAAATTGCCATGTCAAGGAAACAGTTATAATTGTTTAACAAAGGGCAAAAATAAAAGCCAGTGGAAAAGTAAGAACAAAACCCTGGCTTTACAAATATCCACCTAAAAGAGATAAAAACTAAGATTGATCTGCATAAGCTGTCTTAAACAGATGTATTTTACAATCTGTAACATCCAACTTTGCACATTAGCACTCTGTCATGTCTTTATGACTTTTGCTAGTAAAAATTTCTATTCGTATTCTTTGTTCAACAAAGATATGCATTAGTCATGAAAATTAACAAGCTGTGGACTACTGACAAATGAATTGATCAATTCATAGTCTAGACACAAAATTATCTGAGACGTTATAAAAAATGGCAGAAGAAATGTAATTCATTGTGCCTATTCTAATGGTGCTTATAATCTAATAGAGGAAAAAGGATGTGTAGACAAGTAGATAAGAAATTGTCTGATATAGGTGCTGGGCATGGTGGATCACGCCTGCAATCCCAGCACTTTGGGAGGCTGAAGTGGGTGGATTATCTGAGGTCAGGAGTTTGAGACCAGCCTGATGGAAGCCCCTCTCTATTAAATTAGCTGGGTGGGGTGGTGTGCACCAGTAGTCCCAGCTACTTGGGAGGCTGAGACAGGAGAATTGCCTGAATCTGGGAGGTGGAGGTTGCAGTGAGCTGAGATGGTGCCACTGCACTACAACCTGGACGACAGAGCAAGACTCTGTCTCAAAAAAAAAAAAAAAGAAATTGTTTTATATAGGGAACTGGAATACTAAGGCCAGGTCTCAAGGAATGGAGATCTGGTAGGGACTCTGAAGAACACAGAGAGTGCAAAATGGGAGAGGGCAAAATGTGCGTAGAAGGAATGGGGAGAATTCCTAAAAAGAGGGATAACACAGAAAGGAAAAGACAGAATATAAGAAGTATCTCAAGGCTGGGCGCAGTGGCTCATGCTTGTAATCCTAGCACTTTGGGAGGATGAGGTGGACAGATCACCTGTGGTCAGAAGTTCAAGACCAGCCTGGCCAACACGGTGAAACCCCATCTCTACTAAAATACAAAAATTAGCCGGGCGTGGTGTCGGGACCCTGTAATCCCAGCTATTCGGGAGGCTGAGGCACGAGAGTCGCCTGAACCCAGGAGGTGGAGGTTGCAGTGAGCTGAGATCGCACCACTGCATGCCAGCCTGGGCAACAAAGTGAGACTCTGTCTCAAATAAAAATAAAAATAAAGATATAAGCCCGATCTTGGCACTCCAAAATTTGCTCTCTTTCTCTGGCTTACTATTGCATTTAAGATAAAATCTAGAATCTTCTCCATAACCTTCAAGACTTTACATGATCTGGAGAGGCTGATATAGTACCCAAGCTGAAAACTGCAACAGGCAAGGTGTGCTTGATAGAGACAAATACGGCAAAGTTCAGATTAATACAGGTGGAAACATGTCACTGGGTTTGATAATAAAGCATTGGTGGCCTGCAATAGAGTAGTAGAAGTGGAGGACACATCATAGAGGATCACTGGAGTAATGGGAAGAAGGGAAAATGGAGGTGGTCAATGAAAGCATTTGTTTGACAAATTAGGGGTGATGGCAGGAGTTCAGGGTTTTTTGCAGAAAAAAAAAATATATATATATATATGAAATTGGAGGCTGGGTGAGATGGCTCACACCTGTAATCCCAGCACTTTGGAGGCCAAGGTGGGCAGATCACTTGAAGCCAGGAGTTTGAGACCAGCCTGGCCAACATAGCAAAACCCTGTCTCTACTAAAAAGACAAAAAAATTAGCCGGGCATTGTGGCACATGCCTGTGGTCCCAGCTACTCCAGACGCTGAGGCATGAGAAACACTTGAACCTGGGAGGTGGATCTTGCAGTGAGCCGAGATTGCGCCACTGCACTCCAGCCTGGGTAACAAGGCAAGACTCTGTCTCAAAAAAAAAAAAAAAAAAAGACATGGACCCAAAGAGTGAGCGGTAGCAAGGTTTCTTGTGAAGAGCAAAAGGACAAAGTTCCCACAGCCTGGAAGGGGACCCAAGCAGGATGCCACTGCTAGCTGGGGTGGCCCGCTTTATTCTCTTATTGTCCCCTTTTTTCAATCCAACCCGCGACTGGCTACTTTTAGAATCCTGCTGATTGGTGCGTTTTACAGAGTGCTGACAGGTGCATTTCATAGAGCAGTGATTGGTGCGTTTCATAGAGCAGTGATTGGTGCGTTTTATGGAGCGCTAATTGTTTGACAATCCTCTTGTAAGACAGGAAAGTTCCCCAAGTCCTCATGTGACCCAGGAAGTCCAGCTGGCCTCATAGCTCACCAGCACTTTGGGAGGCCGAGGCAGGCGGATCACAAGGTCAGGAGATCGAGACCATCCTGGCTAACATCGTGAAACTGTGTCTCTACTAAAAATACAAAAAATTAGCCAGGTGTGGTGCCACGTGCCTGCAGTCCCAGCTACTCCAGAGGCTAAGGCAGGAGAATCGCTTGAACCCGAGAGGCGGAGGTTGCAGTAAGCCGAGATCGCACCACTGCACTCTAGCCTGGGTGAAAAAGCGATACCCCGTCTCAAGAAAAGAAAAGGTGAGTACCATGGGGTCAGAAGCAGAGGTGAAATAACTTTCACAGGGACTTAAGCTGGTAACTATGAACATAGGTGGGGTCACATACCAGGGTGTCACACTCAGCGCAGTTCTTATACTCTGATTTCATTCTTTTGGCTACATCAGTTGCTGGAACTCCTTCTGAAGGAAGATATGCCCGGCAATAAGGACAGGTCCATTTGTTGTTCTTTAGACTGGTAGCAATACAGGAACGGCAGAATCTATCCCAAACAAACCAAAACTACATCACTTTCCTTGAAAGCTGTAAGGAGCCACCACCATGTATTCATTTGTGTAAATTGTAATTTAATGACACCTTGTACCCCATGAGCCATACTACCAAATTACAGGTCCACTTGCACCCTACACATCCCGAGAATTGCTTAACTTCCCAGCAAGACTTCTTCAAAATCACACATTCTTACCATATGCACTTTCACGCATTTCAAGAAAAGTAAGAATTCAAAGTGGGTGAAATAGCTTTCCTATAGGCTAAGTTTAAACGATAATTTAAAGAATGTCTACATTAGATTTTACCTCAAATTTCTTGAGAAAATATGTCTTTCTTCTGTGCGGTTCTGTGTGTCACATAAGAAAATGGCAGGAAGTCAAGGAAGTAAAAATACCAGACACATTATAATTCCCTATAAAACCATTTTCTCCTTCCCTCCCTGCCTTCCTCCCTCCCTCCCACCCTTCCTTCCTTCTCTTTCTCTCCCTCCCTCTCTGCCCACCTCTCTTTTTCTTTCTTTCGAGAGCCAGGGTCTCGGTAGGTTTCTTAGGCTGGATTCAAACTCTTGGGCTCAAGAGATCTTCCCCGCTTAACCTCCCCAATGGCTGGGACTACAGATGCAAGCACCACACCCAGCATAAAATAATTTTAAAGTCATCCCCAGATATAGAAAATTAGCTAATTAAGATGACCACTATTAGGAATGTCTTCCAAGTCAAGAAATACGTTCTCTGGTTTATTTAAAGGTGCTCATTATGAAATCTTAACATAATCAACATTTCCAGAAAATTCTCACCTATTTATAGGAGTTGTTGAAGGCTCCATGAACATAGAAATAAAAATGAGCATTTAGGTATTTATACACATCAGCATGAACCTCATACTTCTTAAACTACTCAGCACATAATATCTATTTGGGAGTATTAATACATGTCAAAAGGTAGGCTTTTTTAATTTAAAGTATACTATACATACTGGAAAGTTCTTATATTATAAGCATATAGTTGAATGAAATTTCAAAATTGAACACATCCATATAACCAGTACCTATAACAAAAACAGCATGGCCAGCCCCTAAAATTTCCCCTCTTGTTTCCTTCTTTTTTTTTTTTTTTTGAGATGGAGTCTTGCTCTTGTCACCCAGGCTGGAGTGCAATGGTGCGATCTCAGCTCACTGCAACCTCCACCTCCCAGGTTCAAGCAATTCTCCTGCCTCAGCCTCCTGAGTAGCTGGGATTACAGACACCCACCACCATGACTGGCCAATTTTTTGTATTTTTAGTAGAGACAGGGTTTCACCATGTTGGTCAGGCCGGTCTTGAACTCCTGACCTCAGGTGATCCACCTGCCTCAGGCTCCCAAAGTGCTGGGATTACAGGTGTGAGCCACTGTGCTCGGCCTCCAGACACAATTCTAACCCCTCCAAAGTAATCACTGACTTTTAAAAATGTATTTTAACATATAAAAATTATACTTATCAAACATTGTACCAGCCTATAGACCACAGCTTTCTCACCCCTGCTTACTGTCTTTGGTGGTGGTAATCACTGACTTCTAATAACAAAGATCAGTTTTGCCTGTTTCTGTACTTCCTGTAAATGGAACCCTCTGGTATGTATTCTTGGTCTTCTTTAGCTCAATATTATGGTCAGAAGATTCACCCATATTGTTGTACATAGTTGAGATTGTCCATTCTGATTTTGTGAAGTCTATGGTATGAATACACCCAAATTTATTTACCATTCTGTTGTTAATGGGCATCTGAATAGTATTTAAATACTTGCAGATGATAAACTTTAGTGATGAGCAGGCACAGCTATTTTCCAAACCATTCTTCTTCTTTTTTTCCTCTTTAACTCCTAATTATATTAGTCATTACTGATTTTTTCCCTCTTTATTTTTTTCCTTCTTACTATGTTTCAATTTGGCTTGGATCATGACTGATTCATAACAATATTCTCTTCTGCATCTGTTATCAAATTACTACAAGCACACAGAGGATGCTCAGTCGTGCGGTGATTGAGACATCTACTTGTTTATACCTGTCCAGCATCCATTCCTCCTTTTTCTTGCAATAGCATCCTGCTCTTGCTCTGCAGGAACAATACCTCTTATATTACATATAGACTCAGTGGGACCTCAGTCAAGGTGCCTGCCAACTCCTGCTGAAGGTGCGAGCACCTGGCAAGCCAAATCATGTACAGACCATGTCTCTGGAAGTTGAACACTGCACACAGTGACATAATGACTGATTCAGTAGCAACTAGATGGAATTTTTCTCCGTTTACGTAGAACTCCATATCTGCCTTGGTTCCTACCCTTTCCTTCTAGCTATTTTTGTTATTTTTTGGTAATTTTTTTTTTTTTGAGACGGAGTTTCGCTCTGTTGCCCAGGTGCATTCTCAGCTCACTGCAATCTCCATCTCCCAGGTTCAACCAATTCTCCTGCCTCAGCCTCCCGAGTAGCTGGGATTGCATGTGTGCACCACCATGCCCAGATAATTTTTTTTTTTACTTCCAGTAGAGACGTGGTTTTGCCATGTTGGCCAGGCTGGTCTCGAACTCCTGACCTCAAATGATCTGTCCGCCCGCCTCGGCCTCCCAAAATGCCGGGATTACAGGTGTGAGTCACTGTGCCCGGCCAGTAATTTTTTATGTCTGATTTCAAGCTTGATACACTGGCTCTCTACAAAACTTTGTGAAAACACTTCCATATACCTTAATTCACTTAACCTTAATAAACTCCCAAGAAAGATCATTATTTCCACTTATAGATAAGGAAACCGAGGCACATATAGGGTAAGTTGCTTCTGCAAGATCACCTAAAGGAGCAGTGTGAAGAAGAAGCAAGAACAACCTTCAGACCAACTATAACCCATATGCTGTTGCATCCCTTACCCAGGGTTTATGTCCCACTGCAGCTGCCGCCCTGCTCAAGAGAAAGACTGAGCAGGATGCTAAGGAGATAACGCCAAGGTGAAGGACGAACCAGAGAAGACCCACGAGGTTGTCTGTTAAACCTGCTTCTCCAAAGCCAAGTCTAAGGAGGCCCTTGCAAAGAAGGGAGAGAAAGTACCCAGAGATAAAGGGAAGAACTGATGCTGGCAAGGAGGGGAATAACCCTGCAGAGAATGCAGATGCCTAAACAGACCAGGCACAGGAAGCCAAGGTGCTGAAGCTGCCAGGTGAAGTCCGTGCATTCGTGATAACTATGTACTTGTGATGACTGTACAGTTTGAAATACTATTTTTATCAAGTTTTACAAAAATGCAGAATTTGGTTTTCTTTTTTCTTTCTTTCTTTATTTTAAGGTACGTTGTTAGCACACAGTGCACTTCATTTTTGTTTTCTGGGGACGGGATATCTGCCAGTGTCACTAATAGAACGTCTTGAAGCTGGATTGATGTGGGGAAAACACCTTTCTCTTCTAGTTTTTTGTTTGTTTTGTTTGTTTGTTTGAGACAGAATTTCACTCTTGTTGCCCAGGCTGGAGTGCAATGGCAAGATCTCTGCTCACTGCAACCTCCACCTCCCAGGTTCAAACGATTCTCCTGCTTCAGCCTCTTGAGTAGCTGGGATTACAGGCATGCGCCACCACACCCAGTTAATTTTGTATTTTTAGTAGAGATGGGTTTTCTCCATGCTGGTCAGGCTGGTCTTGAACTCCCGACCTCAGCTGATCTGCACACCTCACCTGAGTGCGGCCTCCCAAAGTGCTGGGATTACAGGCATGAGCCACTGCACCCAGACCTTTTTTTTTTTTGGGGGGGGGGGTCGGAGTCTTGCTTTGTTGCCCAGGCTGGAGTGCAATGGCATGATCTCGGCTCACTGCAACCTCCACCTCCCGAGTTCAAACAATTCTCCTGCCTCAGCCTCCCAAGTAGCTGGGATTACAGGCATGCACCACCATGCTTGGCAAATTTTTGTATTTTTAGTAGTAGAGGAGGGGTTTCACCATGTTGGCCAGGCTGGTGTTCCCTTGTAATTTTGAGAGGCTTCCTCTTGGCTCCCAGGAGGAGGGATTCCCTGACTTTGACAAACATAGACAGCTTGGCACAAGAGCCTTGTGGTACGGAAAAACAAATTTTTTTTTATGTCCTCTTCTCCCTTTCCATCTTCAGCATAAACTTAACTCCGTTAAACCTAGACACCTGTTGGGGCCTGAGCCCCAGTCATTGGTTAGCAGTGTGTCAGGCAATCTGGACTTTCCAGTGATGCCCCTGAGATGGGGCTCCTCAAAAGAGCAGTGGTTCCATTTCTGTACTGTGTATCTTCAGACAAATTCTGCCATTCTCATTTCACTCCCTGAAAGTCAGGCTCGGCTCATGTTGAACAACATGCTAAATGTGAAATGTCACTCCTCGCCCTAAACTTTCTTGTTCAGAGCATCAAATGAATACTCCATTGGGTTTTTTTTGTTTGTTTGTTTGTTTTGCCAGATGTCTTGCTCTGTCACCCAGGCTGCAATGGTGCAATCTTGGCTCACTGCAACTTCTGCCTCCCAGGTTCCAGTGATTCTCCTGCCTCAGCCTCCCAAGTAGCTGGGATTATACAGGCGTGAGCCACCAAGCCCGGCCCTCCACTGCGTTTTAAAGAGGCTTTATGTTTTTTGGTAGTCCATTGAAAAAGGGAGTTTGAAAGTTGTTGTATACTGTTAAGGACTGTCTGCCCATGTTCTGCCTGAAATACTGTGACTGTTTATGGAAAGTATCTTTAATAAAGCTGGATAAAGTTTGGCTTGGGGGAAAAAAAATCACATAAATAGAAAGTGCTTGAGCTTGGCTGGGCATGGTGGCTCACACCTGTAATCCCAGCACTTTGGGAGGTGGATGGATCATCTGGGGTTCGAGACCAGCCTGGCCAACATAGAGTGAAACTCTGTCTCTACTGAAAAAAAAAAAAAAATGCAGCCAGGCACAGTGGCTTCAGCCTGTAAACCCAACACTTTGGGAGGCTGAGGCGGGTGGATCGCTTGGGGTCAGGAGTTTG